GAACAACATCCTTATAAGTCGTTTTTTCAAGTGTGTTTCTATATTACTCTGAACATTATCCCTCAAGAAGTGGACGTGCCGTCCATTGCAGCTTAACTGCCTCGTGTCAGCCTCACATGGGTGAAGTGGACACCAGACCCGGCCGTATCGTTGGAGGACTGTGTAGGTTGAGGTAGCAGATAGTAGCAGACACCCTTCGAGTTCTTCTTACCTCTACAAAGTACTTCAGCCTACTCATCCTGAAGTACACTTTCCTGAACGCTTTTCCAGGCTGCACTGTACTGCTGTGAGCTAGTCCGGGCTTAGCGGCTACACGGTATTCCCAACTGGCAACATACGTGCACACATATCTCTGAACGGCATCGCTACCAAATAATGCCTGAAAAGTACATTCGTGCTCATATACTTTTTTCTTGGGTGCTTGAAGGAGACATTCTGCGTCTCCTGCCGCCGCTGGCCGGATGTGTGCATACTGCCCGCAACGATCCCGGTCCAGCTATAGAGATGCGCACACATCTAATAACATCGGATTCACAAAGCGTTGCACCCAAAATGAATATTTAATATTATTTGGGTTCTGGTTATTCTGTTTTGAAACATTCTGTGTTTCCAGTTGAGGATACCATTGTGGGCCGTACCGCCGACACACTGCCAGCCCCGAAGTCTGCCCGGAGTGAGCCAGGTATGCAACCAGAGCAACGTTTCATTAGCTAACATCATTAGAATTGTGCTTTTCCTTTATACTACGAAATAGTACAACCTTCGAGGCTTGCCTCAGAGTATCACTGTAGTGCAGCGCACTACACTGCCAGCCCTGTGACGAAACTCACAGAACCGTGAAACTAGTCTGCTACTGCGAGCCCGGTTCCTTTAAAGGAAACAATTATTTCCTTGCCTTGTTTTGAAAAATTATACGAATCGATAAGCAAATTCACCGGGATAAAATTCAATGGGATTCCAGGTACAGAACTGTTCTGTAGGCTTCATTGAACGGCATAGTACCAAGAAGCATGAATCACTATTGCGTGTTTATTCACCCGTGAACCAGCTGAAGGGCCACAAAAATTCATAGCATAGTCACTTGACAGCACTTTAGCCGAAACGTAATCCTAGAACTCACCACTTTTATGTACACTCCTACCTAAAATTCACCCTACAGTAAGATCAGGGGGAGGCCCTAATGTCTCACAGCATCGTAGCTATGAGAATACAACTATGAAGTAATAAGGGCAGCTCATATACTGCGTAATTAAGCGCGACTGCAGTATTATTTAGGCTACCAACTAGATGCTGGCACTCATCGCATACAGTAGCCCTCCTACTCCCCGTACTATGCAAAGTACAGCATTTGACCAACCAACTTGGTAAGCGCATGGCAGCGAATCTGTGTGTACTCACCGCCTGCCAAGCAGATATGGTCACGGTAACCCCGTACACAGGCCGTAATCGCCCTTTTTGCTGGGAGTATAAAAGCGCAACGTTGGGCTACAAACGTCGCCTGTGATGCTTTCTGAAGAAAAATTCTGCAGCCATAGAAAGCAGAGGAAAAATGGGCATTTCATGAGCCCTGCTCAAAACCCAATCTGTTAGAAGATTCTTTGGGAACTTCAGGAGCACGTTGTTGCAGATTCAGCGCCTTTTCTTCCGGCGTTCTGGCAAAGGTTGGGAGGTTCAATTCTTTGTTTGCGTGAGACTCTGCGTCTGCTGCGAGCATCTGCTGTCAAGGATGGAGTTCCAGACTATACACCGTCCTTTGCGTCGCAGCTCGAGGGAAGTGGCTCTATTTTACTCCGCAAGTTTCCACTTAGCAAAGCATAATTTAAAAGCAGGTACACATTTGTTGACCCGGGCATTTCTCAATTTCTGTGCGACCATGCTGCGCACTGTAGCTTCAGTGCGTTTTTCTAGTCCTTAATGCCGAGTCACACAGCAACCGTACTCGGCCTGTTCGCCCGAGAGTAAAGCACCTTTGCACTACTCTCAGCTGTTACGTTAAATCCATTCGATGATTTTTATTACCTTGAAGATCATCAGTGGGCTGCATTGTTGTACTGCACGCTTCGGCGGCGGCACGCCTACCGCAGCTGGTACTTGTAACTGCTACCGTTTGAAGAACGTGGTAGGCCCCACATTTCATACGCATTCACAAAGCATGAGGACCTGGTGCTACGTCTTGCATGGGACACACTATAGGTGGATTCATTCGCCAACAGTTCACAATATATCTTAGCGACTAACTCTTCTTATTAATTGACCGATAAGGAAACTCGCTCGATGAGAGCTAAATGGTCTGCTGATCGGGCCCCGCTGCTGACGGCGACGTTCGCGAACTCAGCCTATATGGCCAAAGGTTTAAAAACTTTTGGCATACCACTGCCCATAACGAGAAGCACTACACACAATGCTAATTCTCTAGATGTTTCAGGGTTGGAGACATGCACTACGGCCAGCGAAAGCAGGCTGATCAGAGAGTTGACGGGTTTACATTCCTCCAGTGTGGCCTAAGGTTAGTGCGTTGGTGAATAAAGGTAATATTTTTGTGGTTTCTAGTGCTGTTATACTCGCTTTTGTTGAAGTGAAAAAACGACTTTAATGCTTTGCGAGTTCTGGAGGCGACAGGGGCAACGTACGACGTTTGCCAACAGAATGGGCACGAGGGTGCGTGCAGACAATGAGCAATCGTGCATCTCATGTGTGTGAAAATAGCATGGATGATTAAGAAGAGAATGAGCAGAAAGACAAAAGTAAGGGTTCGGGCTTGAACTCGTTTCTGTCTGCAATAGTCGCCGTTTTGCAGGCATTCAAGCTTGTCGTTCCGGACGCAGATGCACCAGTAAAATTCCTGGCTCGCGTGTCTGCTGCGGAGATCTGGTAAACCCGGCACAAAACGTTTTCTAAGCATTTCCTAAATGCGTCATTTCTATGTCGTTTGCTGAGCTCGCGCTGGACGGACCCTCGCTTTGCTTCAGCCATTTCACTCACGCAACTGGTGTAGTCCCAGTCGTCATAGCAGAGAGCTGCTATGACCACTGGCACTACACCAGTCGGCGTTGCTTGACTCGCACGCTAGTGTTGCTTATCCAGAAGCCACTTTCAAAATTCAGCAACTGAAGGAAGCCCTTTCAGGAGAGTCTCTGCCTCCTATGCATTGTGGTAAACACGCTTTGTGCAGCAGGGCTGGTCATACGTGGTGCACATGAAGGGCACAACACGGATCACCATTTCCGCTGCACGAAACGTCTCGTTTACATGTAAGGACCTGTTACTCTGTGAAAAGCTTCTCAAGGCTGCAAAACAACCACTCTTTTGTTCAATTTCCAATCTTTAACTCCCTGTGGCAGGAGATGCTACGCCTCTTGAGACCACTTCGGTGAGGGAAATTAGTGCATATGACTGGCTGAAGCGCCTTTGATATAGTGAGCAACGATACATTCTGATGGAACTCATTGGCATCGTTCGTGCGTATGGCCACTCCTTTGCCACTGCTCTGTTAGCCAGTAAATTTGGGGTCTTCAAGAACTCCAGACCTTTTCCAGGTAATTTTGGAGCACAAGATGTAACAGAAATTGTATTTAATGCTTCGATCTATGATGTGCTTAACGGTTAGTGCAGCGCGCCATGTTTTTGGTGTGCACGTCGAGTTATCGTATCCATAGTTTCGGCGGCATTCCCTCGAAACAGGCAGGTACTAGAACTATCAAAGTGATCAGGCAGGTGCTTAGAGTGATGGAAATTCAGTCAAGCCAAAGTGCTTCGATGCAGGCGCTCTATGACCTGGGTATTGCCAATCTTTGATCACCCTCCTACTACCTTCTGTGCCTTCATCCAGCCAGTTCTACGAGACAAGCGAAACCGCTGAGTCTTTGGAGCTGAGTAAGGAGCATGAGAATCGACTTTAAGGCATCTACTTAACAGTACGACATTCCAACAAGTGGGACTAACTGCTGATTCCCAGATGCAGAGGCAGAGACAGAGCGTCCACACTGGGGACTAAACAATAAGTAGCACTGGAAAAGTGTCGAAGGCGGTTCCGTTTTTGGGGCGTGCAGTGCCACGCATGCAGCATGTCGTGGCTCTGCGTCATACCACGACCATATGGCTATGCATCTGAACAAGGTTGGGCCTGTTGCCCCTGAAGCTTTAGCTCATCAGTCAACATTTTGACCTTATCTACTGTCTCTACATTAGGCAGGAGCATAAGATATCAAGCAGTCAATTTGACTCATGTATGGAATATACGTTCCGTCAGCATACTTGCGGGGCCATCACCGGCGTTGTCCCCCCGTGCTTAGCACATACCTACTCTCGGCACATTCTGGGCAACTTGATCGTTAGTAAGACTATACATGTCTAAGATTCTTCTGGTGGCTCAAGTCCAAAGTATCTCATTTTAGCACATCACATGCGACAATCCCATACAGCACCTCAAATGGATACAGCCATGACACCGCTTAGTTCTGCCAGATTGTTTGCATTTCGCCCCTTTCATGGATACGCAAGTAAACAGAGCATCACCAAGCTGCAACTGTAAGACTAGATCATTCACTCCTCCAAAAGCCTTTCAAGTAACTCGCTCACGTTGCTTACGGCATATTCTTCTAAGAAAGGTTATTCCCGCCAAAGTGGGGCTGCACAATGAACATGTTTGGCTGTATAAGCTGCAGAAATCATTTCTGGCTTTCAAGTCCATCTCACACACGCAGTAAATGGCTACTGGGTACGCATGAGATATACAGGAGAGGGCTGGCTTAAACTTCCATACACAGCCCCTCCAAAGGATGTTGCCTATCCAAAGAGCTATGTCAAATTGTATTCTCCATGAAATTCTCGCCTTTCTGATGACATATGGACGACAACGAAGGCTACACACCGCTTCATGCGAGTTCAAAATACTCGCATGAAGCGGTGTGAAGCAGCCTAGTACGTGCCGAGCATTGTGGAAGCCAGCTTTGCATATTGCGTTTCACGCTCCAACGTCGGAAATATAACAGGTGAAGTATATGTTCTGCGGCGGCAGCGCGACACCAGAGCTGGACGTCGGAGACGCTTCTGTTCGATCCCAGGTAGTTCAGGCCTGCAGCGCCTTCTCAACCACAGGAATAGCAAATCTACCGAAGGACTTATATGCAAACAAATTCAATTTACACCTCTCATTCTGCCTAGAGGGCTTTAACCAGAAGGCCGTTTCTTCCGTGCCAATGCGCACTCGACTGTCAAACTCCAACTGTCCCCCAGTGGACTGCTGTGGTCACTGTCTCGCTGATACAGCCCAACGAAAACAACAGCTAACAGTCAGTAAGGCAGAGGAAAAGCAAGCTTTCGAGAAGATCAGGAAGGCTATTGTGCTTTATTTCAACGGCTTTTACTTGGGGCTGTCTCGGGATGCTCGGCTTCCTGTATTTTACATGCTGTAGCCCACGCTTTCGTGAACACAGTGTATGTGGCACATTCCGTTTAAAAGTCCACCACTTTCACCGAAATAAATATCTTGAAAATACTGTTCCTCTTGGCCCACCTTGGCGGTGCCGTTGTTTCTTTCCTTGCCCTGTTTTCGCGTTCTGCCATTCAGCCAAGCTGACTGTACTTCACTGGTGGATCTGGTCAAAAGCTCCCGCTCGGAAGGTGATGAGTCAAATGTTAGTTTGCTAAATATAGTGAAGGGCTCCTTGGAGTATGCAGACTTGAAGAAGTTTCTGCACAGGACTCGTCAGAAGTATGGTCAACTTGGGCCGTTGCTCAAGCCTGTCACAGTTAAACACAACGAAATAAGATACAACTTCAAAATAATGTTCGACTCCCACGGATATGGTGGAGTGAAGCACGTAGCACCTGAAGAGTGGGGCTCTACCGTGCGAGTTCGTTCGTTCCACGTGGAATTCCCCGAGGACGAGGATACCCCGGCAACACACACGTTGTCTTTGCGGAGGGATTTCGTCAGAAGAGATGGGGGGCTTAACCTCGAGCACCGTTTCCGGCGGTCGGGAGGATATGTCGAATTTCTTATTAATGATAGATTTCACGCAATCCTCGCCCTTCGATGGCTTCCGCTGGTTGCACTCGTTTTCATCACGGTGGTCATCTGCGCTGCAATTCTCTCGCGTTAGTAAACCTAACAAAATGCACGAGTGGGATTATTACTGTGGAAGGACTGCGTCACGAAAGAGAAGATGCCTACGGAATATTTGACGAGTATAACACAGCCCCAGGCCTTCTTCCCCGCGAGCCGCTCGGCATTTCCGTTTGCTAGTTAGTGGAGCGACATTTCTGTGCTGCGGGTGCATTTTCAGTGATTCTTTTCATTGCAACGGAAGCAAGGGCAGATGAATGCCTCGGGAGCTCGAGTTCAAACTGGGACTACTTCTTCTTCGTCGTCGAAACGATGTTCGCCATTGGTTATGGGAGCCCGAGGTACCCCAGCTCTTCTCGCGTGGTTTGGCAACCTAACGCGTTGTGCATGCATCAAGTTGAAGCTTTTCATCAGATACATGTGTATTACTCTAGCTTTCTCGTGCTCGCCATGTCCTAGTCCTCACCCTTCACACTTCTGTTCTTGTGCTGCGAATGGTGCCCACTAGCTGCAGGACCGCATGAGCTCTGGAAAAGCTTTCCATTCAGTACAAATCGCTGTGTAGGGGTTATGACACCATTTTATTTTGCGCAGGTACCCTTCGTGCCGTGCCTCAAGCATCATGGTGACCCCCATTGTGGTCACGGGCGTCCTGTTAAATTCCCTAATCCTGGGCCTAGTGTTCCAGAAGTTTTCCTCTGCAGCGAGAAGAAAATGGGCTCTAGCATTTACACAGAAGCTTGTCGTTTCTACTGGGTAGGCATAACAAAACAAAACCACATAGTTGCTGTGCAAGATGCTATTGAAAAGATGCAGAGTCAGTTGCAATGGGGAGTTAGTCGCACTACTTCAGTGCACCATTCTTACGCACTTCGTAATTTAGTATTGTGTTTGTGTGATTTTCTCGCCCAAGTAAACCTAGTTCAGCTGTGGAGCCCTCACCACCTGGCACCACCTTGGTAGTTGGCGAAAGTCTTCCGATGCCCGCTGGTCGTCATCGAACCCACTCTGAAAGCTCTAAACATTATTCTTCGGGGACACCTCACGCGCCTCTCCATGAGCCACTTCTTGTAGGAATTCCTGAAGAGGGGGGTAAGCGATTCTGGAAACAAGGGCCTGATACCGGATTCCCTGAAGCAGCTTGGCATCTTGGGGTTGGCTTCCGAGTATTCCAGCACAAAGTGTGGCGGCTCTGTGCAGCATCTTCAAAACATGTGAATGAAGGGCATGAGTCTCCTAGCAGCGTTGGAAAGGAGTCGCAAGAGTACCAGCGAGGCATGTCAAGCCACACGTACATGGCTAGGCCTTCAAACGATTCAGTACTACTGAAGAGTTGCGAAGGAGGGAACACAGGTATCCCCTCAGTGCAGGGAAACAGGGGCAAGCATCCAGGTCAGCAGTGTTCCTTTTCCACATGGCGACACTACCTCAAAAATTCAGTGGCATCATGTTTGGATGCATCTTTTATATGCATGCAGAGCGCCCACAAGGCCTCAGGATTTCATTTCGCATGTTGAACATCACGGAGACCTCATTCTTCAACACAAGACTCGCCTTGTTTTTCCTGGTAGATATCGATACCTTCGTGCTTCTACCGCATTGTTCAGTTCGCCTACGGCGAAGCAGTTACTTTAAGTGTTCAACCGTAGCAGTGACAGGAGTTGGCACAGGCGGTGGCTTGCTACGTCAATTCGCAGGTGCATCGCCGTGGAGGTCTTTCAATTCGCCAATTTTCCATGTTCCACACAGACACTCCTTTGGAATTTATGGCACTGCCGATTACAGTTACTGTGAGAGCGGTCTTCATTTGCTTTCGTGATCGCTTCGAACTCCCCACAGTTGGTACCCGGTTTTTCTCGCTGCTTCTCGGGCTGCGCGTGCTATATTTTGCCTGTGTTAGCCATGGGAACAATCATTCCTCTGGCTACAGCCAATGTAAACTGTGGCTCTATCCTTTCATTGCAGGTGGACCAGAGTGATATAGGGAGTCCTTTACGAGATATCACAGAGGCGGACTTGCGTAACCATGGTGAATGCTATGAACTTCTTGCATTGCTTTCTTTCACAGACAACAGGACTTCCAGGACAGTTGAAGTTTGCAGAAGGTACGCTTACGCCTCCACTTGGAGCGTGCAGAAGCATCATCATTCGCAGAATTTATCAAATATCAACATCCAGTTTGGTGTATCTGAATATATCTATACTCACAGTTACCCTCGTCGCCTGTAGGCGTGAATGAGTTGTCTCTCTTCCCCTTCATGATTGCATAGTTGTAACGACTAGCTGCGTATTTGCTTCGAGCTGCTGCAGCTGGCGACTGAATGCTGCTGTATGGGATGAATCCTTTGTGCCTATTGTAAGGCAGTCTGGACCGGACTCATCGCGTAAGGTCGCGTTAATGGCAGCTGGCATTTGCTAGAGGTTAGAAAGAACGTTTCAGGGGAAAGCATCGACGCTTTGGTCCGGAGCAGTTAGAATAGTACAAACTTTAAAGAAGCAGCCAAGTGCACGCGAGTCGAGTGCAACGATGAGACCGATTACCAAAAGATTTCAAATGCTGTGCAGAGAACTATTCGTGTGGTTTCTGCATGTCTCAGGGGCCTTTGAAATCGACGTTGACAACTTAAGCACCACGAGAGTAGGCGTTGCTCACAAGCACACAGGCTAATAGGTACTCAAATGTGCCTTAGGGCACGTCATCTAGCCATGCCGTGTGAAGGTCTCGGCGACCACCTTTGCCTCGACTTCCTTTTGCAGGCAATTTTCCCTGATTCATGAGGATAGTCACAGTGCATCTGGACTATGCAATTCCTTCGGCATTATGTAAGCATTCAAATAAGTGCTCCCTTTTGTTCGTCGGCGTTACACGTTGCGGCGACGAAGCTGCACGCAGCTCCACGAGCCTAGACCACCATCAAGAGTGACAAGCAAAGGCTGGCAACCAGGTGGCAGCATTCCAGCAGCAAGTGGCAAACATTTGACATGGGGCTTAAGATTCCGTCGTTCCCGCGTAAGTTGGGACTTCATGAGAAGCAACCGTATATGCATCGATCGAACGGGCCTGCGCAGCACAAAGCAAACTGAGGACGTCCCCCCGAAGCGCGTTCCGTCCTCTTCCCAGGAAATGACCCTTTGCTGTATCCCTGTTTGGCTGATCTATTAGATCTCACGATGAAACTTAGGATTTTCGGGGCTGCTTTCGCCTTGCGTACTTTTCCCCAGTAGTTCAGCGGTGTGTTCTACGGGCCGAGGATGACGCAGTGACTTCTGGGTACTGCCTTTACGGACAGCTATGCGAGCTCGATGGGCGCCGTTGAACGGCATCAAGAGTGAAGACACAGTGTGGAGCTTTCTGCGGTAAAAGACGAGCCATTTTGCTCTGCACTGTGCCGCGTCGAATTATGCTCATGAACAGCCGTGGTGACGGTGCTTCGTACAGCTTTGCGTTGAGCGCCATTGGTTCAGCCAAGTCTTTAATTCGACGCTAAATCGTTTATACTCCCCTTGAACAGCTCTGCAAATGTTCGAAGGATCTTCTACGTTCATTGGTTAACGCTCCTAATTCGAATAGATGAGAAGTAGCGTTCGCGCAAAAGGGCAAGACAGTTTACAGAAATGCGTGCAAGCAACGATCTAAAGCCTATTCAAGCGGACATTTCATATCTACGACGCTAAGTTAAGGGCGGACTTTCAATTAGGGCCCCTTGCGAGTTGCAGAAGCTGTATCAGGTAATTAAGTGCTGGAGCGTTGCGGCAAGTGCTGCAGCACTGACCTGCTTTTTTTTCTTAGCCGTATATGAAACCTACCATCACGGGTTTCGGGGCAAACAACGTGTTTCTCTCTGTCCACCTCTGTTGTGGGTCAGTTTCCGATGGGAACGGTGCTGGCCTGCTTGATCAGACTCTTTCCTCAATTACATTCAATGCTCGCAGAATTCCGAGAGAACAAGCCGCAAAGAATGTGGCCAGTACCAAGGACATAATGGTCGGTAAAGGGATACCTATGCAAGCATCCCACAACTGAACTTACGTGTTTATTGAAGCAACAATACATGCAGTACTGTGTCCAGACTATCCACGAGTTCACGTTCACTATACAGCTTTTGGGGTCCGTAGAGGTTGCGCAAGAAATGAACGCCAGTTAAGCACCTATGTAGCGGTCAAGAACCTCCCCACCCCCATATACAGTGAGCACACTGGGGGAAAACAGCCGCCTCAGGAGTTCAAAGTGTGCTCACTGTATATGGGGGTGGGGAGGTTCTTGACCGCTACATAGGTGCTTAACTGGCGTTCATTTCTTGCGCAACCTCTACGGACCCCAAAAGCTGTATATGTGAACTCCTGAGGCGGCTGTTTTCCCCCAAAGTCCACTAGCACCGCCTAAGGAAATTAATACTTCGTTTGAAGCGACGCCGAAGGCAGCCATTAGGACTCCCATACCATCCACTCATTTGCCATGTGTACTTGGGTTAACTAAGACGGTGACCCCGCGCACTGCACACTGTTAGCATGGGACGTAGCACAGTTACAATTCATTGTGTTCCATAGGAGGAAGCCGGAGCGTCCCGTTACCTACCAGGAGCTACCCACAGAAAGCGGTAAAAACATGAAGAGCTTTTTGGGAATTGTTAAGCTACGCTTTACGAACTAAGGTATAGGACAACCGAAATCGGAACGCGATCTCCCAGAATATCTAGAACGGACGCCATGGGATATTGGCTGTACCTGGAGGACACCAACATGGGCATGACAGAATGGGCCCAATTAAAATGTGACAGCTTACATCGTTTATCCATGTGGACCGGGAGCAAGTACTACGCCGACTTGCCAGCTGGTGGTGGACAGGCGACCACCAGCAGTAGGTCACGCACGTCGCGAACACCCTTGCTGGAGGTACATCGATACCTGCAGCTGGCCATGCCAGTTGCTTTCTGGCCAGATTACCCCGTGACATATGCAAGGCGCTAACACGCGGGGGAATAGCCCGGTTTCCTTGTTGGAGAGTAGCAGCGGCAGCGCTGGCGGAGCTCGAAACCTCGCAACAGACAACGAATTGCACAGATGGCGGCTGGAGCTGGTCTCTAGACCCCGTGGGCGAAGGGGAACCGTCAAACGGCCGGTATTTACAGGGCCGAGAATGATCTTCCGTAGCCCCCCCTATGGGGAGCGCTATGAGTGTAAAGCCTGTGGCATACGGCACGGGACTGCTTCTCGCGCGCCGCTCCTGCTCGACTTTCTGGGGAAACCCGCAAGCGCTGTGGCAGAGTAGAGCACTACGCAAGGGACTGCGGCACGACTACACGCCAAAAGGGAAACATTTAGGGCGGGTTCACAAAGCAGCCGCCGCATCCCACTGGTAAAGGAGCGGAACGTTTAAGCGTAGTAGCCAAGGCGTTGTGGGAAACGGACGTCATAGGCATACCGCTTATGGGAAGGATACGATATTTGCAGCAGCGGCAGGGCCTAGCGCCATCGCCTTCTCCCGTGTTTGGGGAAAGAGGTTGTTCGAAAGGGAGCTACCAGCAGGTGCGGCGGCGGTGCCGCAAGGCGCGAGCCTACAGACTATGGAGGAACACAGAGAACAGACTGCGTAACGATGTCCCGTATCGACAGGTCACCCGATAAAGGATTCAGAATGAGAGAGGACCTTTAGATGACGAGCGCGCTGTATCAGTGGAGGGCGCCTCCTTGCCTTTGCGGTGGTGGGAAATATGTACAGCAAGGGAGACAAACCCATTTGGTGCTTTGTGTAGCATCAGTACGACCGCAGTGCCCAGTGTGGAACTGACTGGCAACCTTTGCAATGCGCCCCTAGACACCTGGGCATCCAGGAGCTTCGCTAGCCCCAAAGTACTGAAATGCTTACCGCTCAGCGTGTGGCGACTACCGGAGGAGTGGATTTTTACGATAGGGAATGCACACCATCTACGTGTTGATCGCGTCGTGAAGGGGTTTACAATGTGTTGTGGCCGACAGCGTTTGTCGGGTGGCTGTTTCGGAGGACCGATACCCTACGACTTGGTGTTTGGGCTAGACTGGATGACGGAACACAAAGTTGCATGGTACTTTCATTCCGGCAAGCTGCGAACCCATGTGAATAGCCGGTGGTGCGCCCATCGTCCGAGTTCGTTTGTAGCAATCTATTGCAGCTGGCCCTAACGGAGAGACCCACACAACTCGTGCGGAGCCGGCGTAGGACTATCTGGCTAAACAGATGCCGGGCATGACATCGGAAGAAGCGGCGGGGCTTCTGCACCCGCCGTCAAAAAGACCCAAGTCCCATGATGAGGCCAAGACGAAGGCCGCCAAGTTCAATGCTCTCCTTCATTAGGCAAACACAGAGACGAGGAGCCTCGAAAATGCTTTACATGGTTTCTGCCTCGTGCTAGCCTCGTCTCACACTGGGGAGATCACAACTACCAGATTGATGGTTGAAGGGCAATGGGCGCTCTCCTGCGCGGTAGCCACTCAGCATACCACGAACAGTGGGCACTTCTGCCTCCTCAGCTCCAAAGTTCCGTTGTAATCAGCATTTGACGAAGACTTCCCGTGGGTGACAGCTAAGATAACGTTCCCCCAGTTCCATGAGTGCATAGAGTGGCCTGAGTCGAGCAGCACTCCTCAGGCGTCGCTTGACATCTTACGGGCACACCGGAACGTCTTTCCCGAAAGCCTTCCTATTGGGCTGCGTTTGAAACAGCCGTACGACCATCGCATTCTCCTAGTGACGAGGATGCTACCTACCAAGTCTGCCATTTGCCGCGTGGCACCTGACCATCTCCTCTTACACAAGCAGGGGATCGCCAGACTGACGGTAAATTGGTGAATAAAGCCGACGTGCTCGTCCATCTGAACCTCCACCATCATGTTAGACAAGCGGGAAGATCAGAGTGGGAGCGCCATATGCCCACGGCTGTTAACTACCAAGCCCTGAATGCACTCACGGTAGTTGTAAAAGGGGCGCCTGCTACCTTCCAAGCCAACATAAACGCCTATCTGCAGCGAGTCACTCGGCCAGGAAGTCATTACATACTATGTCGACGGTCCTTTCTATAAGCCGGATCTGCCGAGCGATTTTTATCAGTAAGTGCAGATCCACGCAACACGAACTCACGTCCTTCTAGTGGACCAGTCCTGCTGAGGCCATTAAACCTCCCGCAAATAAAATAAAGACTATCCGCATGTGGCGCGGAACTCTGGAGAACCAAACACAGGTGCCCCGGTTTCTCGCCACGGTAAAGTACTAGTGTATGTTCATCAACCTATATTAACCTAACGCCGCCCGCTCCCTTGTAGATGTTACTCGTAACTGCACCCCCTGCATTGGCTAGATACTTACACACAGGCGGTGCGTTGCGTAAAGCAACGTTTAATTGAATTCACCACCCTGCAGGTTCCCCATACCTCGAACCTTTCGAGTTGCATACCAACGCCTTAGGCTACGCCAATGGTGACCCTGTGCGAGCTGGCAAAGCAATCCGCTTCCTTAGTCAGGTCATGAACCCCAGTTAACAAAAATATTCGACCTAAGACCAAAAGAGCCTAACCGTCCTGACAGAGGTGGACAAATGGCTGCAGCTCTCCGGGGTCGCTCAGCTCAGAGCCTCCAGCAATCCCCAGGCCCTTAGGTACATACAGCAGCTCAAAGTGCCAAAGCCTCTTCGCGGC